ATGGAAGGCTGAGTCAACCCTGAGCCGGTGAGATTTGAACCGCTGACCTGCTGATCTAGCAGTAGCCTGCAGTGCTGCATTTAACCACTGCGCCACCTTGGCGTAGGAGGAGTTTGTTAGCCCTCATCCAGTCCCTAACGGCTTCAAGTTCCTGGTTCATCACGTTTACTGCTTCATTGAGTTGGCACGGGATGGACAGATACAGCTGGGTATCGTCCGCATACTGGTGGTATTTTATCCCGTGCCGCCGAATGATCTCGCCCAGCGGTTTCATGTAGGTGTTGAAAAGTAGGGGAGACAGGACCGAACCCTGCGGCACCCCATATGTGGCTGCTCCATACTTTCCTTGAGAATGGCCTCCTTCCTATCCCACGTTCCATGCCCATGACCACCATACTATTCTGCTTCAAGATATCATCATCATCCCCTAATCTCCAAGGCTGGAAGTCTTGGCCCTGGTTCCAACCATCCCAGGGAGGGGAAGCCAAGTTCCTTGAGGCTTTTCAGCCCCCTGTCAGTACCATGAGGCTATTCTGTGATCACTTCCAATTCCAACTGCAAAGATACTCACAGGCACCCAGCATTAGCCTCTGTTACTGCTTGCCAGGATCCTTTCTCCGTTCACCTCCAACCCAAACAATTTTGAACTCTTCCCTCCCTCCAGAGGGGAGAATCAGTTTCTCAATGGGAAATCCATAATCATGGGCGCATTGTATGGCAAGGAGCCTCTTCCAAAGCAACAAGGAACTTTGTCCTCTTTCTCAAGCCTGTAGAAAGAGAAGGCAAAAAGGCTTCCATGGAGGGGAGGTGTGTTTCACAGTAGCCTGCCTCTATTGGTATTCCCTTCCCTGCCCAGTCCTTGCCAATAACCCCCAGGCACAAGGCTGCCAAAAGAGGAAATCCAAGCAACAGCTGACAGAGCACATACCTTAGCAGCAAACAAAAGTCCTTCCCCATAAACCTGTGACACGAGTATCCTGATGCTGCTGTGGCAGTTAAAAGCACCATCTCTCCATCTAAGTCCTCCACCAAACCTTTGGCAGAATGTTTGACACACCCTGCAGCCGGTCTTCAGAAAACTTCCACCAAGATGTCCCACAAATGGGATGGGGACACTTCCAGAAGCTGGTGCCAAGTGCAAAGGGAAGGAGAACATATCCCTTTCCTATTGCACTCTGCAAGATGCCTCCAGCTTGCATGTCATGTTCTCTGCTCTGCAGTAACATAGCCTGAACTAATTGAAATCTAGGTATGTGCCAGCCCAGGCACTCTTATGCTGCCATTTATTCAGCTATCAGCTACCAATTTCCTTCTGCGCAGTCATACAACTAGTAGGAAAGCAGTTCTTCCATGGCACTTTTCTTAATAGCTTTTCTATCTCCATCCTTAGAAGTTTCAATATTTTTTGTTATTTTATTCACTTGACTGGTCTACAGATTATATTTTATTATTTGGGAACTCTGAATGAGTCAGTCTCAGGCTGTTCCCTGCCCTTTGTCCCCATCAGTTGTCTGCAATCTGTTCTTGATGAAACATTGCTCTTCCTTGCTACTGTCTCCTTCCTTTTGCAAGCACTCCACTCAATCTACACTATATTGACAAAAGTATTCGCTCACCCATCCACGTAATCAGACTCAGTTGTGAACAAATACATTTGGCAATATAGTGTATTTGCTGGAACTTTGTCATAGATCATTATTCTCACTGTATGATCAATTTTTCTACCAATGTTACTTTATTCTATGTGAAAACAAAGTTACAGGAACTCAGGAACTTTGAAAATACAGTATATTTTAGCTGAACTCTCCCTTCTCTACCCACCTCCCCCCAGTTTCTACTTAGGTTACCACACATAGGGAAATTCTGTCTGCAATTTAACACCCTCCTGCCAATGGCATATCTCTGACTACAGAAGAGCTACCACACACTGTAAATTCTTAAATATGCCAATTTCTCAACACCAATTGGTAATGCATTTCTTACGTCCCCTCTCATTTATATTATGAGTGAATAGTAACCACATACCAATAACAAAGAAGATATTTAAAAGATTGCAAATTATCACATAATCTCCTTAATTTCAGATGCTAATTGTGCCAAAGACAAATCCCTTGTATGTCCACTCATACTTGGCCAATAAAGAATTCTATTCTATTCTATTCTATTCTATTCTATTCTATTCTATTCTAATAAACTAATGCTGAAGATCATCTAATACAGATTAGAGCCCCCAATAGAATGGGAGTTGACAGATGCCAGATGTTCAATTTGGTTTTAGAAAGGGCTGAGGGGCGAGAGACATTGGTGCCCGCTGGATAAGCAAGCTAGCCAATGTGTACCAAAAAGAACACAGTATGTGATTCAGTGGTTCCAGAAGAGCTTTTAATTGTCTCAACCATGTCAAGCTATAGAATGTCCTTGGAAAATGGGAATCCCAGAACCTCTGATTGCCTTCCTGCAAAACATACCCACAATAGGAAGTCATAGTCCAGAGGAAAGAAATAGTGACTCAACAAAAAAGCAAAGCAAACAATTGCAGCAGAATGAAGCATTGGCATAAACCGGCTCTGATAATTCCTCTCCAGACAAGGAGAGAACTTGAGATCACTCACAAATGCTCTGGACAGTTGCTTCTTTTAAGGAGATTGAAAGCAGCAGTCTCTGGTAGGTTTAAAGCTCTGGGGAATGAGGAAATTACCATCTTCGTGAAACAGTGCCTGAAAAATGGGCACAGGATTCACATGCTTCCTTTTCTAATCATTTTCAGAAATTGCTTGTTAACTGCTTGTCAGCTATAAGGAATCTTTGGATCAAGTTTCACAGCACTCAGTGAGTTTCCTTCAATCCTTAGCCAAAAAGAGAGAGTTCCAAATACAATTTTGAGGGCTTAATTAAAAAACAACAACAGAAGCATGATTAAACATTTGATTTTAGAAAGTTACAAACAGGCTAAGGGTCCAGATAAGTTTGAAATATAATTTTGGAATTAATTTTCCCTTCTTATAGGAAAACACTTTTGTTTTTAATTTTTTTAAAAAAATAAGACTTTAAAAATTGGACACTAAAGGGAACTAGAAAGAATTAAAGAGATGACAGTTAAAGGAGAACACTCAAGCTTGACTTCTGAATACAGAATGAAACAAAATAGTTTACTATTGGACATATTGAATATTTTTGAATAATGGACCTAGACTATAATAGCATCTATCTGTATAGATAGACTGTGTTTAAAAATGTTGTGGAAGAGGAACAAGTGTTACCAATTATCAACAATGTTTGAAACAGTTTTTTGAAAATGGACTTAAAATTTGAGAGGCTGCTAGAATAACAAAGAAAAACATGTTTTATTGAACTGATACAGAAAACTGCCTGGTCTCTTATTAATTAATGATACCATTAGAATGCAGAAGAAATAAAAATAAAATGATGTTATGGGAGAGTAAATAAGAACAAATTTCAGCTATCCTTCACCTGTTGTTACAGATAACTCCAGGAACCAAAAGCCACACAGAGTTTTCTAGAGGTGAGCCAGAGTCTATTCTTCCTCGTCAAAAACTTATCAGCTTCCAGACACTGGGGCAATATCATTTGATTGACTAGGGATAGAGATAAACAAATGGTATCATCAACATACTGATAATTCATAGACCCTGGAAGTAAGATGGTGAGGCAACACGCTGGGGAGGGAAGACTGAGCACCGATTGGTTGATCTTCAACAGGATGTTGGGCAGATGTTCTCTGCATTCAGCAATTAGCTAATTTGAGCTGAGCGATGATTGGATGAAGGTGCTGTTTGAGAGCTGTAGATCTGCAGGCATGTGAACAAAGGCCATTCAGAAGAATCTCTAGTAAGTGAAGGAACAAAGCCGAAAAGTGAATTCAGTATTAGCTATAATGAAAAAGACTGCAATATTACAAAGCCCTTTGACATTTGGCAATCTTCTCTTTAAATGGTTCTGCAAAAAGTAAAACAGTCAAACCCATTTATATGTTTTCCTCACGCTAGAGAAGGCAGAGTTGTCTGGAATATAGAAACTCAAAATAACTTGTGC